CGGCTGAAAAAAGCCGAAAAATTACTAAGTGACGAGGACAAAAGTATTCGACCCTGGACAACTCACAAATATCAACTCTACTCGAAGAAAACCTTTCCGATAGGATTCATAGGTGATATCAGATTTTTTCAGAAACACATTTACCTTTTTTGTCAAAGACTTTGGTCGGTAGATTCCATTTCACGGCATTATTACCGCTCATCACTAAAAATTACCAAAGTTATGAGATGTGGCCTAAAAAAATAAAAGACAAGACATTTAGATATTAGGATTTGTTAGGTAAGGAGGACGAATGCCGATAATTATGTACAACATACAAAAACAATGAAATGCTCGGAGAAACATCGTAATGGCTTTCTTACCCAATTATTTCCCCACCCTAACGTGTTACTAAAATTTATGTGGAAAATATTAAGGGGTAGTCCCACTCGGAGCATGTGGTGGTCTAACTGTGAAGGGGGAGCAACAACGGCACAGCATGCTGAGGTCACCAGATATGGTTGCGAAATCATCCTATCAAGACCTTGGTCTCGACAAAAACACAGTATGATAGCTTCGGGGAGTAACGCCCCACAAAGGAAACTGTAGTAAATAAGCTGGATTATTTAGTATTCAAATCCCCTCAATGTTCGGTTAGTAAACCGGCAGACGGAGTGGCCGTGCCCTCACAACCATACGGGCATCAAAGATAGGATTCGATCTTATTGGTGTGGGAATACAAAAAGACAATATCGGAACAACGTAATCCTTACGTGTGGTGTGGGAATACAAAAAGACAATATCGGAACAACGTAATCCTTACGTGGAATCCTTATGTGGAAATGGTGGAAAGCGGTAAATAAGTTTGTGAAGGCACTAATGTATAGTATCTGACATGAACTGCCACATGGTAATCAATTCTGGACCACTAGGGCATGGCCCCGAGAGGAGATGGAAGAACAAAGAAAACCGTCTGCCTCGTGCCGACTCCTCGAAAGCCTTCGTCTTCTTCGCACCAACCCCTTCCCCCTTCCTCCCCTCTGAAACAGTAAGAAGATGAGTCATGATCAGTTTCTAATCGCCGTCGTGCTTACTGCTTACACGGCATGGCCTACAGGCTCATCTGTTTTTATCACTCAATATCTACGATGGATCCCATACCTTATTTATCGGTTAGGCACTGGGGGTGCGTAGTAAAAGTCTTATAACTGACTTGTGAACAAACCATTACAGTTTCTTCAACTATATTGAGTGAAATTAAATTGAGAGGCCGATTAAGCTGAGAAACTTCTCCCACACCTTTCTTTGGTTTAATGTCAGAAGCTTGGTAACCTCCAAGTTATTTATAAACGATCAGAATCTATTCACTAAAGGATAAAGGATGAAGTCTTGAGGCGTTAATTAATCCCATCTGAGGGATTCGACTTCCATTCAGAATCGTTGTGGCGTATTGAATGTGTATGTGGCCTATACAATGACTTGCAGTGGCCAGAAGATGTACAAATCAGTGTTTTGTCCTCCCAGACGAGTCTGGTACCAATTGACCAAGTTCGAAGGGATGGAGGCTTGATGGCCTGAGCGGACATCGGGTGCATGGTTCAAACATGAGATCATGCATGTGCGTGGTGCGCCACTNGCCACTACCCCACCCCCCCCCCTACCCCCCTATTCATAAGTCGAAGGTGCCATTTTGCTCGGTTGACTGGTTCCTCCTCCCTTCTCCCTTTACATGCATAAATGTAAGTGAAGTGCTAAAGAACTCCCGTTTCACAGTGACAGCTGTGAGGATACGCTTTCATGCCAAGTTTCCAGCCACGAGACTTTCCCCTTCTCTGGAGGTGGCAAATATGCTCGGCACGCAACGTTCCTCAGTTGAGGATGTGGATCCTCAATCGAAGGATCCTTCCCTATGCATACCAGTAAGATAATAGCTGCCACTCACTGTTGCGCTGTCAGAAGTAAGGCCACGTATCAGATGCTGAGTCGATACCCTCCTAGGTTACCCAAGCCTCTCATGTCTCTAAAAAAATTAGCTGCTGGGCAAAGACTCGTCGAAAAGGATAATGACCACCGAATGGAAGTCGGATGCGTGGCGTACTCCATAACCGGATTAATCGGCAACCTTCCATAATCTCCTTCTATGCCATGCCACTTAATTCTATCGCATATTAAAATGTTCATTGTTTAAATGACATACAGCTTGGGAACATATGTACACAACTTCACAATTATCGGAGTATTATAAAACAGACTATTTTTCTTCATCAGAGTGAATTAGCAGGCTTGCGTTTTCTACGAAAAAACTTCATCTACAAATATTTCAACTTGCTGAAAATTATGGCACATAATACAGTGTATTTTTGATATTTTGTTGCTCTTCGATAGCGTCCAATATCGTAACTTCTCTGACGAGGCCTGATGGTCGCACTTCCTTCAAGAGGTTTTGAAGATGGATACGAGAAAGCCGTACACATTTCACGACCATCGCTTCAGTATTCACCTAAATAATTTCACAGTGTACAATGAATGACTGCGAGTGCTAGCATGTAAAGCAGCAGCATACTAATGGAGGCGCATTCACAATAAGTTAAGTGCGCATACAGTAAACATAAATAAATAAATAAAATTCAAGATCATTTGAAAACCGGTCGTTTATGATCAGCGAGATAAAGGTAAATCTTTGGCTTCGAACTAAGCATCCGGAAAGCATCCGTGGACCTTCATCCTTTCCCCATTTCCAAGACCCCGGCTGACTTCGTCTTCAAGAGTTAAACAGAGATTTAAGAAGGCGAGGCAAACGGTAGAGATGATGGAAAAGCTTGTGATTTCTAAATTGTTCCTTCGGATCCTTATTTCCTTCTTTTTTCAGTAGTCATGACGATGCCCGGAAAGCAGAAGTAGTGGTTCGATTCCGGCTCGAGGCTGAAGTTTTGCCCATATCCGCCGATCTTGTGTGATTTTCGATCCGCATACTGCGGCAAAATAATATCAGTTAACAAAATATCAAGTCGGTTACTAAGTACCTGTACTTCCTGGTGTGCCTTTATCCAATCACGAACTCCACGGAATATGTAAATCTCATGGCACGAAAATGTGCCTGAAGATAACAACTGGGATACCGCATCGGCAGGTAATTGGAGGAAACCCTGGAAATCCGATATGCTTTTGACTTTTTCTTTGTAATAATATGAATTATATCATGAACGACTCCTTTGACAATTCAAGGAAAAATTATGTAATATGCCAATGAAACAGTATTTGACCTGTGAGGCAAGTACTTTTTGAGTATTCTGCTTCGTAAATGCACAACAGGATTTTCTGAGGTCACCGAGTGAATATAGGAGCGAAAAATTGTAAATCGTACAGACGTTCTGGCAGTTTACGATTGTCTGCAAAATGATGACCATGAAAACTTTTCTTTTTCTTTCGCGGAGCTCTACAAATCTCACTTTCCACGAAGACTTCAATCCTTTTTAGGAACAACTCGCTATTTCGTCAGACGAGAATATAACAGAGTAAAAACACTTGATTACCTGGAGATAGCCAGCGACTGCCTTTTCCAGTTCAACAAAGCAATACATATGAGCAGTTTTAAGGATATCCATAATTTGTTCTACATTACACTTAATCAGCGAAAGTTTACCAGTATAAATATACCTTAAAAATGATAAGAATAATAAAAACCATAGTGATATGCATCCTCTAACCATAGTTCGCGACAGTTTTGAAGTACCTAGTTTACACGAATGTTGGAGGCGTTAGTACAGAATAGTGCAAAAGTGGCTAAGAAAATCGAAAATTAGCGTATCGAAAGGAATATTCTCAAACAGGTGATAAAACTAGGTATTGGACGAGAATGTGACGACGAAAGCTGCATGAAACGGTCACTTGGACGAGCTTAATGTGTGTGTCATTGCCTACGGTGCAATCTATACAGGCTCAACGACGCAGTGAGAACTCGTCCACCTTCGGGTGTGTATGACGTCCAAGCCAGTTTCAAGACCGTCATACCATCCTACCAAGGCTATTTTTCAATCCAACTCGGCCTTGGGGCTATACTTTGAAGTCACAGGTTCATCCTAAGGATGAAGCTCCAGACCATTTCTATCGTGCACTGTGCCTTTAAAAGTTCTAAAGCGCATGCAAGGAATTATGGCTACAGTCACCTGTCACGTATTCCCCAATGGCTACCAGGATGAGAGAGAGAGAAAGAAAGAGGGGGACGGTCTCGTGACAAAAGGATGGAACTGAATGACCGTTGGTGAGCACTTCGAATAAATTGGGCAGTG